GGTAATGACGATAATAACTGACATGAAGCGCAGGCATCGGATAAACAAGTTGGATGCAGTTCCGTTTGGTCCTCAAGAAACTGTAGGTGTTCTCAGTTGTACAGATGAGGAAATAGGCTCAGGCAGCCAGCAAAGGCAAAAGCAGATGGAACAGAGACAGGCTCGCTGTAGTTTCTGAGCTCTTCTCGCCCTACTGTGACTCACCTCTCCGTACCTTTCAGGGTGGCAGTGAAGAATAGGTTGCGACTCCCTAGCTCACTGCTTTGTAATAACGAGACCTCTGGCCCCTCTTCAGATTTACATACTAAACTTGTACCAAATTTCTAAGTGTCAGGTTGTGTATTTTTAGTTTAAGAAATAGAAGGTGAAGCCGGCGTGGTGGCGCACACCTGTAATCCCAGCACTTGGGAAGCTGAGGCAGGAGGATTGCTGAGTTCGAGACCAGCCTGGGCTACATAGTGAGCTCCAGGTCAGTCTCAACTACATAGTGAGACCCTGTCTCAAAAAAACCAAAAAAAAAAAAAGAAAAGAAATAGAAAGTGAGCCCCAGGGTACATATCGCTAGCTCTGAACATATGGCCACACCCAAAGTGGAACTCCAGTGCTGCCACCCCCAAAATGGCAGTTATTTTATTGTAATCATCTGTAGACAGGCCATATAGTCATAGGACCTGGCACCAGGAGAATTTACCTTGTCCCAGCTAATCCCCACTCCTAGTACTCACGAAAAGCCCCTCTCCCTGAGGGAGGCAGTCACTAGAAGTGGTGGGACTTTACTTGCTTTCTTGATAAAACAATCCTGACATATGGCAGGTGATTGGTGACAGGCATTTGTGGGTGGATACAGGGATCCCACTGCCATTTATAACCTTTTTCTACAACAAATGCTAGTTTACAGTCAAGATTTTAGAAACTAACCTATCAGTAAAGGACTGCTAGTACTTTTGATGTTTGCACAGTCTGTGATAATCTTTTTTAGCAGTACATTGGAGTTTGAATCCTGTTCTCAGACTTCTTTCTGATCTGAAAACTACAAATTTTCTTCCTCACGGAATAAACCTGTACCATCTTGATTAACAGTGTCTTTAGAGGCAGGGCATGGTGGTGCACACCTGTAATCCCAGCACTTGGGAGGCTGAGGCAGGAGGATCACTGTGAGTTCGAGACCAGCCTGGACTACATAGTGAGTTTCAGGTCAGTCTCAACTACATAGTGAGACCCTGTCTCAAAAAAACAAAAAAAAAATACTGTCTTTAGAGTCATTTCAGCCTCTTGTTAATTTGAGGTACATTTACAAGGACGGCATTTTTTAATCCACTGGAAAAGGAGCCAGTCAATATTTCAGCACTCAGCAACTATCAGTCTCCTAAATACCTGGCAGACATTAGTGACCAAGTGGCAAATTTCTGCCCTCAAGGAGCTTAGTATTTGAGTACTGAACTGTGCTGATAATGTAGTGATTTCTTGATAACTACAGATGAAAATGCACCCTGGCCTACTTATAAGCAGCCTATGAATAAAAATACTTAGTGTACCTCTTTTTTGTGCCTGGGATTCAGCCTCTGGAACATGCACGTGGCACTGGCTAGAGATGTTCTTAGTTGTCAAAACTGGAAGGGCTGGGGGCATTGCTCAGTGGGAAAACTCATACTTAGCATGCATGAGGCCCTGAGACTGATCCCCAGCACCAGAAACAAAAAAGCTACTGGCATCTAGTGTGGGTGCTGCTAAATATCCCGCAGTACACAGGACCGTCCCATAACAAAAATGGCTTAAGATGGCAGTAGTGGTGAGGTTGAGAAACCCCTGGAGACAGCTGCCAACATATCAAGGGAAAGTGGGAAAATGGTACTGTTTAGTAGCTGCCTGTGCAACGTGAGTTCAAAATGCCAAGAGTAGGAGCTTATCCGAAGCAACAGGTGAAGAGACAACCTGGGACTAGGGATTTAGCTCAGTGGTTCGCTGCCTGCCTCTCAAGCACAAGGTCCCAACTTCTCCCTCAGATTTCGGGTCTTTGGTTGATTTTCCCAATTAAGCACTGAAAGTTCTGAACTTCCCATGAGCATGGTGGGCCGCTCTTTTAAGAAATTCTGTAGTTTCCACCCAAAGCTCGTACAAGAGAGGAAATTATAAAGATTAGAGTAGAAATCAGTGCAATGGAAACTAAGAGTACAATATAAAAAATAAATGAATCAAAGAGTTGGTTTTTTGAAAGAATAAAATTGTTACCCCCTTAGCTAACCTTATCAAAAAAAGGAAAGAAAAGCTCAGATCCATACAATTAGGAATGAAAAAGGTGAAGTCACAACAGATCCAACAAAAATCCAGAGTATCGTCAATACTTACTTTGAGAACCTATAGTTTCCAGGCTCTCAAGCAAGAGATTGTTCCCCACATCCTACCTCCATCCCATCATCTCTGCCCAAAGGCACAGTGTACCCTACATCCTACACATCCCATCAGCAGACTTTCAGGTTGGATATTTTGTTCTCAAACATTATCCACTATTAATGATATGTTCATATCCTAACTCCCAATATATTTTGTTACCTATGAACTGTATGGCAATACTATTGAGGTAGGATAGAAGAAATAACTAGCTAGAAGAGAAGCAAGGAAATCATGACCGTTGTACTTTCAAAAAGCTTGCACCTGGTCCGGGGATTTTAGCTCAGTGGTTCTGCCGCCTGCCTCGCAAGCACAAGGTCCTAAGTTCGATCCATGCTACCAAAAAGGAGACTGTAATTTCTGGGACCCAGTCATATTCCTGGGTCCAAAGGACCAAATATTCCTTTGGTTAAATTTAGGGTGGTTTCTGTCCAGAATCAAGAAATACTGAAAGGCCATAAACTGGCCTAATTGAAAAAGTAAAGAGCAGTAAGCTAAGATAACGTTGATAGGCTGAGAGAATTGAAAGAATGTTTTGATTGACTATCCAAAAGAATTAAAAACTTTTTTAATTTTTAACCCACATTTTCCCGGGGTTTTCACCTACTTGAGAGAGCATGAATATCCTCTAGGAAATAACACTATTTCCTTGAGTGTGTACTAAAATTTCTGTCTAATAAATCCTTCCTCAGCCTCTTCCTGGTTCTGAAAATCTTTCTGCAACAGGAATCAGTAAACCTTCGATCCTGTTCTACAGCAGGATGGGTTAGGTTCCTTATCACAGCTCTGTTGCTCTCAGACCCTGTTCAGTGACATTTTGTCTCTGAAATGTTTTTTTCTTTTCTCTTGGAGGGTGCTGCAGCTAGAACCCAAGCCATCGTACATGCTAGGCAAACTACTACTAAGCTATCACCCCAGCTCTCTGAAATAACTGAGTACAGTGTTTTAATATATAAAATGTGAAATACATGTTTCAGGTAAAAAGCTCTATAAAGGTCTCTGTCAAGGGGGGAAAATATATGTGTGTGTGTGTGTGTGTGTGTACATGGTCATACATTCACACACATGAACACAACTAGCTTTTAAAAAGAAAAGAAAATTGCTCATCATAATTAATATGTATTTATTTATAAACAGCAAAGCAGCCGGGCATGGTGGCGCACGCCTGTAATCCCAGCACTTGGGAGGCTGAGGCAGGAGGATCGCTGTGAGTTCAAGACCAGCCTGAGCTACATAGTGAGATCCAGGTCAGTCTCAACTACATAATAAGACCCTGTCTCAAAAAACTGAAAAAACAAAAAAATATAAACAGCAAATCAACTTTTACCCATATCGCTACAAATAATATAATTTTGGCACAATATTGTACATTTATGTAAAACATTAAAAAACACATTTTAGGGCCAGGCATGTGGTGCATGCCTGTAATCCCAGGAGTCAGGAGGCTGAGGCAGGAGGATTGTCACAAGTTTGTGGCCAGGCTACATAGTTCAAGGTCAGCCTGGACTACATAGCGAGACTCTGACAAAAAAAACCTACCGAGGATTGTAGGGCCAGGGATGTGGCTCAGTGGCACCACACCTGCCTGGCATCAATCCCTGATGGCACAAAAAAAAAATACTGGGGACAATCCAGGGCTTTCGCACTGGGCCACATCCCTAGCCCATTTTTATTTTTTATTTTGAGACAGGATCTCTTTAAATTGCTAAATTGCCCAGGCTGGGCTTGAACTCAATCCTTCTGCCTCAGCCTCCCAAAGTACTAGAAATACAGGTGTGCACCATGTATGGCTCCAAACTTACAATGTTTTTAAATTCAAATTCCAGCCAGGTGGAGTGGTGTATACCTGTAATCCCAGCACTTGTGAGGTTGAGGCAGGAGGATCTCAAATTCTAAGCCACCTGGGTTACATTGTGAGTTCCAGGGCATCCTGTCTCAAAAACCCAAAAGAAAAATAATTCAAAATGCTGTATCAGACACCCATATTCACCCAAGATACACATTTGTTCTACATAAATTATTACCTACACATGGGTTTAATACTTTGCTAGGCAATATTTTAAAAATATGACAAAATTTCTTGCAAGGAGCCTACAGACTCATAAATGATACCAGCATGTAAAAAAGGAATTGCAATACAGTGTGATAAGTTCTGTGGAGGCTCCAAACAAAGCATGAACAAGAAGGCAAGATAGGGAGGACGGAAGACATCACAGGGGGGAAGTATACACCCATTTCCTGTTTCTTATGGTGTATGTCTAGATGTCCCCCAAACCCTCATGAGCTCACAAGTGGGGCTTCTGGGAGGTGACTGATCATGGGTGTGTGATACTCTTTAGTGGAGTAGTCAGTCCACTGATGTGTGGGATGCTGGGAGGCGAAGCCTGGTTGGAGGAGGTGGTCACTGGGGTGTGGCCTGGAAGTCTTCTCCTCCTCCCGTGATCCCTCTCTGCTTCCCACTGCCCTGCC